CATGAAACCCTAGACTCCATTAGGATAGTTTAGCTTGGCTAATGCCTAGTGAGTTGGGGTTTGGTTAGTTGGATGTTAGAGCAAGCTCATTAGTGCGAATGAAGTGAGGATAGGGATTTTGGTTAGTGTTTGGTAATTTTGTGGTAAAATAAGGAGAGAATTTCGGACCACTCATAGGCTGATATACGTATGGTTTTTGGGTATCAAATTGGTTAGAAAAGTTGGTATAAGAACCATAGAACGGACTGTACGGTTGCGGAGCGCAAAACCGGCAAATCTGGAAAACTATGGCTGTTCAGCATCCGAACTTTGGCTTCATTTTTTCTTGATGTTACGTACGGATTCAGAAGTTTCTCAAAACATGAAAGTTGTAGCCTCTTATGTTCTGAATATTCCTACAAAATTTCAGGTCAAACGGATCATTTTAACCCAATTTATAGACAAAACACTAGCACCTGTTTTGTACCCTGGATTGTGTTACGTTTTGACTTTTGCTTCTGCCCATGTTTTATCCGTTTTGATAACGTACGATCTGGGTGTTGACTCCTTCATAAGAAATGTAGATCTTGGTTTTAGCTTCGAAACGGTATAACGTACGTCGAAATCCGAGTTCCGTAGCTCCCGTTATGACCAAAACAAGATCGATCGTCAGAACTGCCTTTGAATCTGGACAGTTCTGACGGGTACTTTGGCACTCAATTTTCGTTCTGTTCTGAGTGGATTCAGGTCTTGACCAAAACATCAAAGTTTTAGCCTTATGTCCCAGATTTCTAATACCTTTGGAATTTCCTGATTTGAATTTGTGAGCTGGGAGTTATGCTCCAGCAAACATACCCTGTCCGTCACTCTAAAGTGCGAATTTCTGGAACGATTTTCCATACTTTCGACCTATTTCTGTTCAGATCCGGACTTAGGTGTCTTCATGAAAATTGTAGCCCTTCCTCTTAGTTTCGTAACAGTACCTCATGTACCTTGATCCGACACTCGTAGCTTCGATTGTATTCAAAACAGCTTTGACGGCAAAGCGATTAGGTTACTATTTCCGAATCCGTATGCCGTTTCCGCACTCGTATGTGCCGATTTTGCCGTTTTGCTTGTTTTAAGTATGTTAGTAACCATTTGTGATATATTGTGACACAATCTTCTATTTCAGATGTTGGTGAGCTAGGAGGAGCCGGTGGGGCCTACTAGCTACTCCTCGCGGCACGAATTTCGTACTTTTGCTCTTTTGTTCGTTAAGTAAGTATTCAGGCCGCTCTTGTGTGTTAGTTGCTTATGTGTTTCGATATGTATGAAGAGGGTACCTAGACGAGGGTGTACTTTATCGCACTCGACCTAAACCCTAACTTGCGCACATATTTGTATATGGCTTGTGTATATGAGCAATTTTGGAACTAAAACCCTTGAGCTCGTGGCTCAGGGTGACTTTTGAATAATTTTGTGAAGTTTGTGAGTTTGGGGCCCGATCTCAATACCTAGATGGACTATTCGAGCCGGTTAGGGCTTGGTCGAAGTCAGTCCAACCTGGATTGAGGTCACCAAGTTTGTGAATCCGGTTCACCAAGTATGTGGACCAAGTTTGTGACCCGAGCTTGTGAACCAAGCTCAATTTCGTTCGCTCGAGCAAGTTTGTGAGGTGTCTGGCCAGAGAGGGTGATAAGGGGTACGGTGGGAGAACAAGTGGAGTTCTACGGACCATTATTTGTGGTCGACGGAGTGTCAGCAGGAGATCATACATGGCACATGAATTGGCTTTGGAGCCACCCGTATCCTTATTATGTGATGTTATTTTTCTGCTTTTGCTTTACTCTTACATATGTGAGATTTACGCTTTTGCTCCTGTTTACTTACTAAGCATATAGCTTACCCCTTTTCTTTTGTTTTCCTTAGCAGGGGCCGATGCGGGGACTTTTGACACATACACTAGTATAGTTAGATTTGCATGTAATAGTTGGACAATTAGGATGTTTGTTTTAGTTTTGGTGGTTTGTATAAGGACCCTCCTTAAGGTCTACTCTTTGGTTTTGGTTATATTCATAAGGATGTAATGGGATGATTAGAACACTTTTGGGATTGTATATATTGTGTATATAGTGCTCTTTCGGTTTATCTCGTGTTATTGCTTTAAGTTTCGAGTCCTGGCGCGAGTTAGGCAGGCGGCCCGCTAATACCCTTGGGTTCGCCCTTGGGAGAAGTGGGGTCGTCACACGTTCAATTGGCTCAAGACAATACAAGGACAAAAATCAAACCAATAACAAGTGCGGAAATGAAGTTTACAAAAGACAGATTTGATATGGTTTTTGCGTAGCGGACACAACCTAAGCCACGCTTATCGGATTGGGTTGCAAATTATACCATTTCAAAACTAAGACGAAGGCCTACAACTTTTATGAAGATCACTTAGTCCAATTTCCAGTGTAACCCAGTCAAATTCCCAATTTACAGAACCAAATTCCGACTAATCGGCTAATTAACCGTAATACATTTAAATGGCCATATCTCAGGCTACCAAAGTCCGTTTAAGGTGTTCTTGGAGGCGTTGAAAAGATAAGACAGAGTACTAAAACTTTCATGTTTTGGAAAATTGCTAAATCTGCACGGATCATAGTGAATAAACACAGCCAAACGGATGAACTGTCTAAAACGGATCACTGGAAACATCCTAGGGCAGCGAGGGTATTTTGGTCTTTTCAAAGGCTACGTTGCTCCGATTGGGTTCAAATTTTGTAGGCTACTATAAACTATCATTCTCTACAACTTTTATGTTTTATACTAAGCCTAATTTGGCCTCTAACATCACGAACTGGAACCGGACAGAACAGGGCTACATTTTTCCAGAAATCTGGAATTTTTTTTGTTTTCAATGGAAACTTTCTTCATTTCTTGCTCCAACCATCACCACAACCTCTTATATAAGCTTAGATACAACATATATTATCCATACAACAAGTTTAGGCAGAAAATCATCAAACCCTAACTTACATTCATCACCTCAAATTCATCCCAACAACTTGGATACTACTAATATAACCAAAATATGAGTTATATAACAACTTAAGCAAAAATAAAAGGACCAAAGCCATGGTTAGACCTTATACCTCAACAAAAGAAGCTTGCAAGAGTAATACTTCACCTCCTCTTGAAATTTTTGGTTCCCCTAGCTTCCCAAAGTCACAACTCACAAAATAATCGGTTTAGAATTTTGTTTCCTCACTTGGATGGCTCAAACTCAAGATGAAGGAAGGTTGTTTCTTGCTCTCTCTTTCTTCTCTCTTGTCTCGGCCAGCCAGCAGAAAAATGAAGGGGAATGGAGCAAAATGGAGGATAAGAAGGTTGGACTTTTGGCTTGGTCAAGTGGCCATAGGTGAGTGACACTTGTCACCACCAAAGCCAACCAAAATTTCTTTTTCTTTCCTTGCATTTTTAGCCCTAAATTTCGGTCAAAGCCAGCTGGAAATAAGGACATATTTTGCTCAAATATTAATGAGCTTGTACGGTAAGAAAGTGGTGGTCAAGTGGTGCGTTCAATCGGTAGTGCACGATACCCGTCGGTTCGCAACGTTTTTCCTTAAATCAAACGTACTAGGATTTTTTACTTCCTATTCACTAACTTTTTATCATTGCTTCTAATCACATATTATTTCTCACTTACAAGTCACTCTTAAGCACCAAATTTGATCCTCGCACCGTACCAGATAATTACACTACGAATACACGTGAAAACCCTAACTTGCTCCAACTTGAAAACGAAAAGTGAAACCCTACTTTCTAGGTTCATTTGCACTTATTGTGGAATGATTGGATAGTAGGGCTATAATAAATGAATAATTTCCAAATAAAAGGGCATTTTTGAGAAAAATATAAGGAATTTGCAAGTCCTCACACTCTCTCCCCCTTAAAAGAATTTCGACCTCGAAATTCATACCTTTCGTCGTGAATAGGTCAGGATATTTCTCTTGCATGTCTTTTTCTAGCTCCCAGGTTGCTTCTTCCACTTCGTGATGCTTCCATAGAACCTTTACTATTGGAATTTGCTTGTTTCTCAGGTCCTTCACCTTCCGATCCAATATTTGAATAGGTCGTTCTTCATAGGTTAAGGACTCGTCTAGTTCAACATCTTCGGGTGGCAAAATGTGAGTTGAATCAGGATGATATTTCTTAAGCAAAGAAACATAGAAAACGTCATGGATCCGAGACAAGCTAGCTGGTAACTCAAGTCGATAAGCCACCTTCCCTATTCGTTGGAGTATATTGAAAGGTCCTATGTATCGTGGTTGCAACTTTTTCCCTTTTCCTGCTCTAATCTTTCCTTTCAATGGGGTAATCCGAAGAAACACCTTATCTCCTATCGCGAACTCCAAATCCTTCCTCCGCTGATCGGCATAACTTTTCTGTCGGCTATGGGCTGTTTGAAGTCTTTGGCGGATCACCTTTACCCTCTCGTAGGCTTTCTCAACCCATGGTATTGTAGCCAGATCTATAATCTTTCTCTCTCCTACTTCATCCCAATGGATTGGGGATCGACATCGTCGTCCATACAAGGCTTCATATGGGGCCATTTGAATAGAGGAATGATAACTATTGTTATATGCAAATTCAACCAAGGTTAAGTATCGGCTCCAACTTCCTCCAAAGTCCACAATACAGGCTCTCAGCATATCCTCAAGAGTTTGAATGGTTCTCTCAGATTGTCCATCAGTTTGTGGGTGATACGCTGTACTATAGTTTAACTTAGTTCCTAGAGCCTCTTGCAATTTCTGCCAGAATCGAGATACAAACCTTGGGTCTCTATCCGATACAATACTCACTGGTACCCCATGTAGTCTCACCACCTCATCCATATAAAGTTTGGCAAGTTTCTCCAAAGAATATTTCATATTTACTGGCAGAAAATGTGCGGTCTTAGTTAATCGATCCACTATTACCCAAATTGTATCATGCCCTTTTGTGTTCGTGGCAACCCTGATACAAAATCCATCGTTATGTGCTCCCATTTCCATTCAGGGATCTCTAAAGGCTGTAACAGACCTGACGGTTTTTTATACTCAGCTTTCACATGTTGGCACGTAAGACACTTTTGTATAAACTGGGCAATTTTCGCCTTCATATTCTCCCACCAATAGAGACTTTTGAGATCTTGGTACATCTTATTATTCCCTGGGTGCATCGTATACCTAGAGCGGTGAGATTCCACCAAAACCTCCTTCTTTAACTCCTCATCCCTAGGTATAACGACACGATTTCGAAACTTTAAGATTCCATCAGGACCTAGGTTAAAGTTAGACAACTCCCCTTTCTTCACCTTTTTCACCCACTTTTGCACCATTGGGTCCTTCACTTGGCCCTCTTTAAATCGATCTAACAATGTCGACTTTACCTCAATATTTCCAAAAATCACCTTCTTCGGTTCCAGACGAGGTTTCCACTCACATACATCTTCTAACAAGCTCCACTCTCTCACCATGGAGCTTGCTAATTGATCCTTTCGACTTAAAGCATCTGCTATAACGTTGGCCTTTCCGGGATGATAGTTAATCGTGCAGTCATAATCTTATAAGAACTCTACCCACCGACGTTGTCTTAGATTTAGCTCCTTTTGTGAAAATAGATACTTAAGGCTCTTGTGATTCGTATAGACCTCGAAAGTCACACCGTATAGATAATGTCGTCATTTTTTCAAAGCAAACACAACAGCAGCAAGCTCCAAGTCATGGGTTGGATAGTTCTGCTCATGAGGTTTTAACTTTCGAGACGCATAGGCAATCACATTCCTATTTTGCATCAACACGCACCCTAGCCCCTCTTTTGAAGCATCGGTATAAACCGTGTAGCTATCGTTCCCATTGGGTAAAGCTAACACTAGAGCCATAGTCAATTGCTTCTTAAGCTCTTGGAAACTACTCTCACACTTAACATCCCAAATATACTTTTCTTGTTTCTTTGTCAAGTTAGTTAAGGGTCCCGCAATTCTCGAGAAGTTCTTTATAAATCGGCGGTAGTACCCTGCTAAACCTAGAAAACTTCGTACCTCTGTGGGATTCTCTGGTCGCTTCCATTTGGCTACGGCTTCCACTTTCGCCGGGTCTACAGCAAGCCCATCTTTTGAAATTATGTGACCTAGGAACGCCACTTTTCCCAGTCAAAATTCACACTTGCTGAACTTAGCGAACAGTTGGTGCTCTCTTAGAGTTTGCAGCACTATTCGCAAGTGTTGTTCATGTTCCTCCCTTGACTTCGAATATACTAGGATATCATCAATAAACACCACTACAAACCTATCCAAGTAAGGTTTAAACACTCGATGCATTAAATCCATGAACGCTGGTGGGGCATTGGTTAAACCAAAAGGCATCACCGCAAACTCAAAATGCCCATATCGAGTGTTAAACGCCGTTTTTGGTACATCCTCCTTTCTGATTCTCAATTGATAATATCCTTGTCGAAAATCCAATTTAGAAAACACCACAGCCCCTTGTAACTGGTCAAACAATTCATCAATGTGGGGTAAAGGATATTTATTCTTAACAGTTACTGCATTCAATCCTCGATAGTCAATGCATAACCGTAAACTCCCGTCCTTCTTTTTAACAAATAGCACTGGAGCTCCCCACGGCAACTCGCTCTCATGTATGAACCCCCATTCTAGCAAATCTTGCAATTGCACCTTTAATTCCTTAAGCTCAGCAGGTGCCATTCGATAAGGGGTTTTAGAGATGGGAGTAGTTCCGGGTACTAGATCAATCTTAAATGCAATCTCCCTTTCGGGTGGCAGTGACCCCAACTCCTCCGAAAATACGTCCGGGTATTCACTGATCACCGGCATGTCTTCCAACTTAATCTTTTCTCCCGGAGTGTTAACTAGAAAAGCTAGGTAACCGCGTGCCCCACGACTTAGCAATTTCCTAGCCCTTATTCCCGAAATGAGCGCAGATGAGGCTAACATACCCCTCACGTCTAATTTCAAAGTTGCCTCACCAGGTATGCAAAACTCTACCACTTTCATCCTACAATCTACCCGAGCATGGTAATGAGCTAGCCAATCCATACCTAGAATGACATCGTACCCCTTAATGGCAAGACTAATAAGGTCGACTACTAATTTCCGTTTGCCAATCCAAATATCACAATTTCTGTACACCTCATTTGCAAGTAGAATTTGATTACCCATAGGTGTTCTTACTTCTAAGTCATAAGGTAGACTTTCAACTTTCATGTCAATTCCAAGCATAAATGTAGGGTTAACAAAAGAATGAGTAACACCGGGATCTATCAAAATTTTGGCTAACCGGTGAAAAACAGGGATCGTACCTTCCACTACCTCCGTTGGTTCAGGTACGGATTGTTGGTCCAGCGAATACACCCTGGCCGGTACCCTCGACCTGGTCCCTCCGACATTGGTCGGCTTTGGGTTTGACCTGGCAGTCGACTGAGTATCACTGATCAACGGGCAGTTGACTATCTGGTGCTCCGTACTTCCACAACTTAGGCACTTCCGAGCCTTTCTCCAACACTCATCCTCAGTATGGTTCGGTTTCCCGCAATATCCGCATGTTACTTGAGAAGTGGAGGTCTGGCCTCCCTGTGGAATTCCTTTACCTCGCCCCCTACCACTTTGGCCTCCCCTCTGGGCACCTCCTCTCGGAGCACCTCCCCTCGGCGCACTCGAAAACCGTCCACCTCCAGTTCCACGACCGGATTTAGCAGGTGGCATGCTCCGATCACTCCGCACTGACCATTGGGCTCCACTAGGTACCCTTTTCCGTTTAGCGTGGAAATTTCTCACTTGTGCCCTGGCAGTCTCTATCCGTTGGGACTTTTCCAACACCTCCGTAAACGTATTAATTTGGGCTGCCGCCAAGGCCTCCTGTATCTCCACATTGAGCCCTTGCACGAATCTCCGTACTCTTCTTTGCTCCGTAGCGATCAGCTCAGGAACAAATTTTGACAATTTCGTAAACTGAGTCTCATACTCAGTTACACTAGAAGTTCCCTGCCAGAGCTTAATAAAATCGTCCTCTCTCTTCTCCTGGACGATTGGTGGAAGGTATTTCTCGTTAAACTCCCGTACAAAGTTTAACCAGGTCTATGCAGTTCCTTCTCTCTCCCACTTGGCCCTAATTACATTCCACCAAGCCCTGGCTGGACCTTCAAACTGGAAAACAGTGAACTGCACTTGCCTCTCCTCTGTATAGTATGAAGCGGCAAAGATGTTGATCATGGCCTCTAGCCATTTATCAACTCCCTCCGGGTCTAGTCCTCCCAAGAACTTGGGTGGAGAGAACTTCTGGAATCTCTCTAAGGCCCTATCTTGCCCATTATCGGGGTCCCTAGGTTGATTTACAGGGGCTTGACCCTGTTGTTCCACTAAACGGGCCAGAATATTGGCCATTTGCTGGATGGCAGTTGCCACTTGATCTCCCCCTGCAGCCTGGGGTTCAGGTTGTGGCTCAAACGTTGCCTCTCTCTCCTCTCTCGGTTCTTGCACCGGTTCCTGCGCTTGTCTACCCCCACGGCCCCGACTAGGACCTCGTCCTCGGTTAGTTCCCCTGGTTTGACTTCTTCTACCCTCCATGTTTTGGATTTAACCAACTATGGACATATAAACAAAGTAAGGTATGGCTCGTATAATACGTCACAAAAGGATAGATAGAGGCAATAAAACACATAATAAACAAGTACTTTATATACATAGCAAACAAGTCACATGTGACAGCCCCACCTCCCCCTAAGGCGAACCAAAGGGTTCGGCGGACCGCCTGCCCAACTCTCGCCGGGACTCAGTCGTTCATTCAAGCAAATCAGAAATAAAACCACAAGAAAGAGCAAAACAAGGATCCAAAACTTAAAACAAAATTATATACATTGTTATCTCAGAAAGAAGTACAACCATCGAATATACAAAGGTTATCAATTCATCATACAACCAGCCCGTGCCAAGCACTAGGGCGAGAACCATTACAAAACCAAAGAACTAGACCAAACTAGTCTATACAGAGCTCTCGTCTTTGCTCGCCTTCCCCTGTTAAGGAAAACAAAACTAAAGGAATGAGCTAAAAGCTCAGTGAGGTTCCAAACACATAAGCAGCAATCCATCCAAAACATTAAATATAAAATTTCAATAATTCAAGTAACATTTACAATGGAAAGCGATAATAACACATACATTAAGAGGATACAGGCTCACAAGGAGCCATTTGTTCGTTCGTTCGTTCGTTCTCCTGACATTTCCCCTTATTCCTCCATTCACTTGAAAATGCATTTTTGTAAGCAAAACCCTCGTTCGTTCGTTCATTTCATTCACCCCCTTCCCAGACATTGGCCGGGCTCCACCAGACTTCAAGGTAATACTCGAGTATACCAAATTCACTCAAGGTCACCATATCGCCCGACCGAGTCCGCTTTTGGCTCGAGTCGATCGGTAACGAAGGGCAGGGTCCAGTTCAGCCAAAAGGCTTACTTCATGCGCAACTAATGTAGCAATCATTAAATCATTGAAAACTTCGCATTTATTTAGGTCAAGTGCGATAAAGTACACACTCGCTTAGAAAACTCGTTTTAACAATCATTGAAAGCACTTAACACATTATCAATCAATAATAACAAGCCAATAAGTCAAGGAAATATAACAAACAAGGAACACTCACCTAGTTATGCAAAATAACGTGTAAAATATCCTTCCGGATATTACCCTTAGTCACCAATGAAACCTAAGATTGAACAAGAGAACATATTACAGTTTATCGAGCAAAATATTTAAGGGGAAACGAAGAAACCCGACTAATTACGAGTAAAACGTGTAAAGATGACTTTCAACTAAAACGAGGGTTGTTTGGACCCAAGAATGAAAATAACTAGGGTTTCAAAATCAATCGCAAAACCAAGCTCAAAAGGCTTATAGAATTCCAACGGAAAATATTTGACCAACGACAAATCAAAAGACAAATAGATAGGCTAAGAAAATATTCTTTCGGAATCGTAAAGAATCGTTTGTATGACTAAAAGTCACTATATATTCAAGTAGAGGTTATATAACAAGGGTTTTGATGAAAATCATATGGAAAAGGAGGACTCCTAAAACCGTACTTGAAAATAGTTCACTTGTGGCCGATAAAACCCTAACTCATACCTCTATATTTTGGGTACGGAGTAAGTAAACATCTGGCGTTTCAAATCGAAGAGGTATCATGTTTTGGAATGGTAAAACGGTCATAGTATTTGCCAAACGAAAATATACAAATTCAAATAGAAACTTAGCCCTCGAGCGAAAATTTGGGCAGCACGCCCTTTGTATTTACCTAATTTTCCAGCCATTTTGGCTTCATTATTTTTCTCATTCAAGCCCAAGTTTATACACAACACAAATGCATTTCAATAGCCGTTCCATAGGCTCAAGACAATACAAGGACATAAATCAACTAATAACAAATGCGGAAATGAAGTTTACAAAAGACAGATTTGATAGGGTTTTGCGGAAAGGACACATCCGAGGCTACGCTTATCAGATATGTGCTTGTATACATGGTTATCTGTCCAACTTGATATGTATTTGTGTACTTACTTATCCGTTTTTTAATATGGCGTGTTATGTGCGATATGTTATTTGTGTAATTGGTATGATAGATATTGTTATTTTAGTCAATTTATTGCATTCATGCATTAAAGTACCCTTTTGGAAAGAAAAGAGAGAAGGAAAAAAAAAAAAGAGACATAGTCGCGGACATGGTCATAGCAGTGAAACAAAACGAGACCGAGAGTCAAGAGAAGAAAGGGAGGAAACAACAGCTGAACCAAACATGGACCAAGAGTGCCACTGGTATTCAAGACTTTATTATGACCCATTGTTTTGCCGACAGGCTACCATCTGAGGTCCAGCAATTCTGTGAAATGGCACGTTGGGTTGAGATGCATAAGGAAATCGCGGTTCTTCGAGACGAAATAGAAGTCCAAAAGAAACTAGTCGCATACTGGGAAGGGCGATGGAAGCACGAGTATTCAGAGAAAATTGAGCTCTTGCACAAGAACTTAGAGCTAAAAAGGAAATACGAAGGGATTTTCGAGGAGGCGCTGGAGAAGGCTCAACGAATCGAGAATGCAAAGGCGCAGGTGAAAGCTTCCCAAATACGGAAAATGGGTGCAGTGGGTAGCGTGAGTGAGGAACCTAGCGAAGCAATGGCACCTTCTAAAGTACCGAAAGTGAACCAGTTGTTCGGGCCGCCATGGACATTGGGGGCGGTAGATGAAAGATTTATCAAAGGAAGCCAAACCAGACAGGGGGAGACTTCTCCGGAAAGCAAAAAGATGGCTTCCCACTTGACTTGTGACTATTGCGGAAAGGCCAATCACACTGAGAACGATTGTTGCAGAAAGGGGAGGAGATGTCTGCGCTGTGGGAGCGCCGAGCATCGAATTGCTCATTGTTCTAAAACTATACTCAAAGTACGTAAAAAGAAAGGAACCCAACAACCAACCAAGACCGACCCTGGACCGTCAAGTGGAGAAGGGACTGGAATGAAGAACCTCGTTTCTTCTGACTCTGAAGACGGAGAACGTACAGGTCATTGGTTACTTTAAATTTTGAAGGCAAAAATTTCGTGGGCGAAATTTCTTTAAGGGGGAGAGAGTGTGAGAACCCGAAATTTTCATTTTCTAGGTTTTAGAATTTTTCATGGCTTGTTTTCTGCATTTTCGTGATTAGAAAATTTTCTATATAATTTTAAGGAGCAGATATAATCTTTAGATGATTTTTCTAGTATCAAATAGATTTTGAGAAATTAAGAGTGTATACCGGACGTGGGACCCACTAGTGCGAAAAGTTCGGAAAAA